CTTCGTAGGCCATTTGCCAAGATACCATGATTTATTCAAAGCTTCTTATCTGAAGATTGATTAAATGGGATTTTCTAAATTAAGGTTTTATTTTAATACTTATACTCCCTCCACTCTCCTGTAGGCTCAGCTCTTCAATTTGACTGCTGTTTGTGCATAATGATCAAAAGTTAGACACATTGCTCCTCTTTACTTCTAAGATTGTTTTAATGCTCATTGAACTGTCTTTTCACAACACATATAGACAATGTTTAAGAATTATAAATTTAACCGTTATGTTTTTGTTGTAAGTTGACCATATATCCTTGCAGTACTTTCAGCATGTAATATCAGATTATAAAATCATGTTTATATTTTTTTTTCCTACTAAAATATTTAAATATGTTCTGGTTAGAGACAATCTATATAAAAGGAGAATGTTTTGTTATCATTAGGTTTTCACGTTAGTAACTGTTCATGACATTTTCATGTCCTTTAGGCCAATTTTTCTCAGAATGATGTCTGCATACATACCTATCCTAACGTGTGACATGAGTTTAATATCTTTCTTGTTACCTAATGTGAATATTAGATTTTTTTCAAATTATCCTTATAATCACCATATATATATATATATATATATATATATGTATGTATATGTATGTATATATGTGTGTATGTGTGTATATACATATGCATATACATACACATACATACATATACATATACATATACATATATATATATATATATATATATATATATATATATATATATATATATATATATATTAGTGCGTGTTCTCTCTTATCCCCTTACGGATTAAGATGATTTAACAAATTTAACAATACGGATTAAATGAGAAGGCATACTTTTAACTTCTCAGCTGTCAGAACTTGGCGGAGAGGATATTGAAAGGCTCTCCGTAACCTGTCTGGCCTGCAGGGTATGGGCTCCACCCCCAGCTGTCAGGGCTGGCCTGTGGAATGATTCTCACACTGCGTTGCCACCTTGCCAGAAGTTAGTTTCCTGCTTTACACGTGTTTCCAGCATTTCTCTACTAAAATTGAATGTGTTTTTAAACTAATGTATTTTTTACCTTAGCAAATGTTGGTCGTTTATTTCTGAATGTTTTTTTTTTTTTAAATTCAGTCTTGCTGAGAGGCCTCTCTGGATTTAAGGGCCCAATGAAAAACAATGGAAGGAAGGATTTAGAATATCAGCAAGGGTGAAGTAATTCTTTAAGCAATTAAAGAACGCCTAAGTAAACTTTTCAAGGGGAAAAAACTTGGTTTCAGAATACTGATTAGACACCTTATAAGAATCCGTGCGCCTTATGAGAATCCTGTGCACTTGATTTTGCATATAAATAAGTGGTGATGCAGCAGTGTCTTGCATCTCAGTCAGACAAGTGTAGCTTTTCCTGTCAATGGAACAGTGTGCTCACAGCCCGACAGAATGGACACAGAAGTTGCATTCTGGGACACAGCATGGGCACTTGATGCTTAAATGAAGATGGAAAGGTTAGCATTAACTGGGTATCAATTAGAATTTGAGAATTCTATATGTTTACATTTTTTTTTTAATGTGCATCTTTATCTGGTGGGCTTCCCATGTGGAAACTTGCACTATAATGAACTAAGAAGAATATTGCCTTGTTGTATGTCAGTCCAAGTGCTTGTACTGCGATGGCAATGGCCTCTTCTTGCAAAATGCTCATTTGTGTGCCAATTTGAAATTCTTTGAAGGCAGTTCAGCTTAATCTCAGAATCCTCTTTCTGGGTTAGTGGAGATGGATTTTTAATGTTTTGGGGAGTAACTTTAAAAGGAGAGAATGGTCAGAATTCAGAAAGGATTTATTGGCCCTTCCGTTACATGGACAGTTAAGCTTAAGTAAACTTTCTTGATTATTAAACACAAGAGCTTATTAATTAGAAAAACTAAGAATAAGACAGATAAAACAAGAAACACTAAATCATGATAGCACAAATTGGGAGGAAAAAATTAAAAATGGTTTTGAATTGGGTGCATTGTGAGATTCATTATCTATGAGTGGGGGAATAAATAACATTTCATTAGGTTCCTTAAATAAAAAAGTATTTATTTCAAACATGTCTTAAAGTATGCCCACTTACTGATATGCTTAGAATTATCTGAGAAATTAACTCAAGCAGAACTTACCTTCAGTGCACTATAGCAAGCTATTCCGCATTGACATAGTCTTTTATGACCCTGAACTTTTCTAACTTTGACCTTGGCTCCTATAGAGTCCTGGTCTTCTGAACAGTGGCCTGAGGAGTTTTGTTCTGAACCGTTAATACATTAAACAACTGTTCTATATGGATGTTATGTATTTAGAAATCTAATACCAAAGGATAAGTTAGAGGGGGATGATTTGAGCAGTAAAATTTTAGGATGTTTGAGGATTGCATTTGTTTATTAAAAAATTCTCTTAAGTCAATGATTTGTATAGGGTCAACTCATTTGATATTAGGATATAAAAATTGCCTCCATTTTTACTGGGTAGCAATTAGTTTTTTTGGGAAAGTCTATTTGCTGTAAAGGCCCATTAATGAAGAACACTTCAGATACAGTTAGTAGCTGCAGTTTACTTAGCCAATTAATAAACTGTATATTTATGCGACCTGATACCAATAATTATGGTAAACATTGTTTACTTCTGGTATTAAGGGGCTTTCCTTAAGCTCCTCTGCAATAGATGTAACGCTGCTGTTCCCCGGTCTAGGCCGGTGTCTGGATAAGATGCTTAGAAATGCAGTTTTAAAACGTGCCACTCCATTGATTGGCATGCCTTAAGATCTGCATATTGGTTATCATTTCACATCTAATAAAATTCAGGAACAGGAATCTTGGGCTTTTCAAACACCAAATATGTCATGTTTTATTAAGTTACTCAGTGTGGAGTGCAGATATGAGTATGTAAATGTCAGTCAGCTGAAAAATATTTGGACATCTGCAAATGAGACTATACACTAGGTGTAGACATGAACTGAGTCATAAAGGAATTTATAATAAAATTTGTTTAAAACGTTCTCAGGAATTTTAAATTAAAGAAATTTAACTTTATTTGGTATTGCTTTCCTTATCCCAAGCCTAAAATAAGCCAAGAGAAATAATGATTTTAGAAAATACTGGTGCATGTGAGGTTTCTGTCTTCTGGAATGGCATCATTTCATAATAGTCTCAAAAGTTAGCTCTTGAAATTTTCAGTGTTTTAGGCAGAATTTAGACCTAAAACATGCCATTTTACATTTATAATTTTAAAATACTGTTAATTATGAACATTGTAAATTTATATGCTCAGGATATTTGTTTTAATTCTGTGTCTTATTAAACTAAAACTACATGAGTAGAGAGGGGAGGTAGATTTTTTTTAGGTTAATCTAGATTATTTAGAGTGAAATCTAACTATCCTCACCCTTCTTCAGTGCAGGTACACTTCACTTTATTTTTTGTTTTTTGTAAGGCATTCTTGAACAATTAAGTTTTCCGCTGAAAGAAATAATTCATGATTTTACAGGTGGAATTATAAACTAACCACATAGAACTAACAAAACACTTTCCCCCCTGCCATTAGTTAGGATTTGCCTAAAAGTTAACACCAAACAATTATAGAGAACTGCTTTTGCTTAACTGTCCATTCTTTTTAAAATTAAATATAATCAGGGAAGGAATGCATATATGTGTATGTGAATATGTATATGTTACCATTCCTTTAATATGGGTATTAAAAGGAAAATAAAGAGAGTCTGATTAAATGTAATATTATGTGAAATTAAGTATCTGGGGTTAGTGAGGAAAATATAGAGTAAAGAGGATACTGAGACGCTTGAGCTGGACTAGCCTTATTTGCAAGTGAAGGATCTGGTGCTGCTTTCAGATGTTTATCCTTTATGTTTTTAAATTTTTTCTTAAGCTTTAATCTTCGTTTTGTCTTAAAGTCAGCTGGTGTTTCTTGTCCATGGACTTTGGTACGATGGTGCTTTGCAAGGATGTATTTATATATTTTAATGGCCAACATTTGGTCAGCCCTTGTCCACTATTCACGTCCCCCTTTTTGTAAAATAAGTGCTTTAATTGTATACTGTATAAAAATACCTTGTATAAACCCCCCTTTGATTATTACACTAAGCTGAGTTGTAACAAATGAAATGTTGATTTTTATAATAAAACAGTGGAAAATAAAAAGTGTTGTTTCTTTTCATCAAGAAATTAAAACCAGCTGCCTGTGCTTTGCTGTGGTACACAACCATTGTGTTTCAGATACAACAAAACCCACCTTTATTTTTATTTCAAATAAAATACAACCTTATTAGGCAGTGATTGATCTCAAATAGGTGATTAATGGAAACCAAGTTTAGTAGATGCTTTTGCATCAGAGAGCTTACCTTGGCATTTTATTATTTTATTTTATTTTATTTTATTCCTCGCTCAAGGGATATTTTTTCCCATTGTTCTTTAGAGAGAGAGTGAGAGGGAGGGAAGAAGGTAAGAGAGACAGAAAGAAACATTAATATGAGACTCAATGACTGGTTGCCTCCACATGTTCCTGGACCCAGACCTGGGATGGAACCTGTAACCAAAGTGCATACCCTTGACTAGGAATCGAACCCTAAACCCTTCAGTCCATGGGCCAACACACTACTGAGCCAGACCAGCCAGGGCCACCTAGCTTCTTTACTGACCCTTCATCGTATTCTTTATTCTTGTGAGGGATTCTTTTAGCTTTTATATATCTCACAGTCTTTATTTCACCTTCCTTCTTAAAACATCTTTTTGTTGGGTATAGAATTCTGAGTTGACAATCTTTTTCTCTTGATGCTTAGATGATACATTTTATTCTGTCATATTTCATAAGAAAAGTTTGCTATCATTTTGTTTGTGTAATGTGCCTTTTTCTCTGGCTACTTTCAAGATTTTTTGTAATCACTGGTTTTGAGCAACTTATGATGTGCCTTACTTTAGTTTTTTACAGTAAGGCACATCAACTCAATGAATTGTGTGGTTAGCATTCATTGAGTTTCTTGGTTTTATGAGCTTATAGTTTTCATCAGATTTGGAAATTTTTCATTCCAGTTACACATATATTGGCTGGTAGAAGTCAGTCCACATTTTACTATTACTTTGTTCTTTTTTCCTCCAGTCTTCTGTTTTGTCTTTGAGTTTACTTTTCTGTTCTCCTACAATGAGTAGTTGCTGTTAATCAAGTCTGGTCTATATTTTCATTTCTTCTCCAATAGTTTGATTTAAATCATTTATAATTTCTATGTGAACTTCAGAAGTTCAGTCTTTCCTTTGACTTATTGAGCATATGGAATATTAATAGTTTTAATGTCCTTATCTAGCAATTCTATCCATTGTATAATTTACTTGGTGTCATTTTTTGAATTTTCTCATTGGTCTCATTTTTTTTTCCCTATGATTTTTCTATTGGATGCCGGACTTTGGCGATATTAAGTATTGGATATTTTTGTGATCCTATAAAGATTCTTAGGCTTTTTTTCCCTAGAAGATGGCTAGGTTACTTGATAACAGTTTAACTCTTTTGGTTCTTGCTCTTTACCTTTGTTGGGCAGAACCAGAAGTATGTTAGTCTAGCGCTAATTCCCCCTCCCCCCCCCATTAGTGAGGCAAAATTCTATTTTACCTATTGCTATACAAATTTTGAGGTTTTTCCATTCTGGGTAGAGGAAATACACACTACTCCCAAACCTATGTGAATTTTGGAGAATGGTCCCTTAATATTTTCAGATGTTCTTTTTCAAAGCCTTGGGTAATGTCTTTATTTGCATGGGTTGTTCAGTATTCCTCTGAAAATTTGAGGCGACCTATCTAGATCTCTGAAGCTTTTTGTGCAGTTCTCCTCTCTCCATTATTTGCCCTGCAAACCTTAGCTGCTTTGGCCTTCCTGGACTCAAAGGTTCTATTTTCTCTGTCCAGGGAGATTGCTCAGCCCTGTGTGGGTTCGCCTCTTTCCAGCACAGCCTGAGCATTCTTCACCTGCAGTATTCTAGGGCAAGCATAGGCCTCTCTTTGTTCTCATCTCTCAGGGACCAGTTCTTCGTTACCTGATACACAATGTCCTAGAAACTATTCTTTCATATATTTTGTCTTTTTTTTTTCCAGTTGTTTTAAGCAGGAGGTCAAATTCAGTTACTATTCATTTTAGTGGGAAGCTGTAGATGCTATTGGAACACTTGGATTGCTGTTTGGAACTACATATACCATAGGCCATACCCCAATTTTTCTGATTTACAGTATATAGCAGTGAGGCTAGGATGCGACTCTGAAAACATGCCAGACATTACGTGTGCAGAATTAAATTAGCCATAATACTTGTTTACAAAAGGGTTTGCAATCCAGTGTGAGAGGCTGGTTCTTACAGGACAGTGTATTTATTGTCCATATACAGGGTGTTACGGAGCATTCTTAGTGAGGGAAGGCATCCAAATGTAGCCCCTTGGAGGCCAAGAGGGTTACAAATGGTTCCTGAAGGAAATCGAGTGAATTGGGGAAGATGGGCTAGAGTCAGATGAATTAGTGGGAAACGGGGGAAGGAGGATCAGCAGGCAAGAGCACTTACAATGGAGAAAAAATTGTTCTCAAGCCTCTGGACTATAAGATTGCATAATACGTGTGGGGAGCTGCAAATAGATTGAAATGCTTGGATCAAAGTGGGAGAGGAGATGGTCTTCAAGTATCTCCATTTGTAAAAGGAGACTCCTTTGTCCCTAACATTTATGACCTTAAATGTGTGGGGGAAGACAGAGAATAACTCACTTTAACTGAGATGGGTTGGGCAGTGCAGCATGCGGTAACGGAAAGTTCCACTTTTCCCTTGAAGTTGCACGTATGTCCGAATAACTCAAGTCATTTGTTTGTTCATCAAAGGTTTATTAAACACCTATTTCATGTCAGGCTCCGAGTTGAGTGCCAGAGATCCAGAAATTTGTAAGACCCTATAATTTGTGTTTTAAAATGTTGTATGTCTTAAACACTTTCTATGGGACACATTTTACTTTCTAAGAGACCTCATTTTGAAGAGTATCACTTTCAGGAAAACAACCAGCGACTGCTTCGAGAGGAGAGAAAATGTCCAGCGTAGCTCTGGGCAGCACATAGCAGGGGACGTGCGTGAACACTTGGCACTAAGTTCGGAGCCCTTTTCTAAACACTTTATGTAAATTAACTCATTTGATCCTGACAGGAATTTTTGTACTGTTACATATTGTTTTAACCACAAGACACTCTCATGAAAGTGGTCTTTCCACGTGTTTATTTTTACCAGCTACTAATCATTACATTCCCCTAAGAAAAAATAATAAAGTCTCAAAGACCTTGAGAGGCAGAGGCAGGGTCACTGGGAGGTGAGGGCAGTAGGAGTAATTGTGTTCTGCCAAATGGAATTTTTTTCAAAGCACCAAAGAATTCTCCCAGAAAAGTGAGTCAAAAAGGCAGACATTGTAGTATTTCCCGAAACTAGTGGATCTAGCGATACACTTGAGTCTCTCTGGAGCTATGTCTACTAACATGAACATCTACCAGCATCTTCCCAAAGGTGGACTTGCAACAATGTCATTAGGCCATCCCAAGTGTGGTTTATAAAAATAAATAGTACTGGAAACCAAAGAGTAGGCACATGCAGTTTATCATGGCGCCCTCATGAGGTCAGAATAACACACTTTCTCTATGTTGGCCACCGAGGCGGGATGGCAGAGTCTGTTCTCACTAATGGAGAGAATTGCCCCTTGTCTTTCTGGATTTCCTCACACACTCGGTAAAGGGCCTGAAGAACACGGGGTGAGGGCAAGGCCATGCTACTACCGCCTACGAGCTGGACACAAACGAGGCCTCTCCTGATGTTCTTGGTTCATGAGAATAATGTTCCATCTGCCTCGTACACTTCCATTTTCTCCTGGAGTCTATGCTGAGACCCATGTACACAGGACCACAGCTGGCCCATGAGTTTCCTGGATTACACATCTCCTGATGTTTCAGTCTACTTCTTCAGGGGATATCCCAAGTACCTTATCCTGGAGGGGGGGAAAAAAGAGAAATAGATTCTTAAAATTCCAAGTTAGTGAAAACATATGCCTGTGAACTCTGTTCTCCCAGGGATGACCCTGGGATCAGAGAGCATAGCAGGGTTGGGGGAGAGTTTGGAAGGTGACTGGCATCCTTGGCATGCCTGAGAGGAAAACACAGCTAAGGACTTAGTTACCCCAGGGCGAAGAGGCTAGATAGGAAAAGGCTTTGATGCTGTTAACATTCAAAAGAGTAGATAAGAAAGGATTGATAACTTTCCTTTACAAGCTTCTCCTTTCAGAGGGCTGGAGAATGTGTGAGGTTATGGGAGCTCTGGGTAACTATGTCAAGGGTGAGGAAAAAGGGCCAGGGAGTAAATTAGAATCTCATGGTAGCACCCTGACCAGTGGCTCAGCTGGTTAGAGCATTGTGCCAATATGCTAAGGTTGCAGGCTCCATCCCCAATAAGGGGTGTGCAGGAGGCAGCCAATCAATGTTTCTCTCATCAATGTTTTTATCTCTCTATCCTTCCTTCCTTTGTCTCTAAAAATCAATAAAAATATATTAAAAAACATATAAAGAAACTCCTATTCAGTAGCAGTGACTCCCCATTCCCTCCCCTCAAAACTCCAGGAAGTCACTAATCCATCTCCATGGATTTGCCTATTCTGCACATTTCATATAAATGGACTCAGACAATAGATGGCCCTTTGTCTGGCTGCTTTCACTTAGGATAATGGTTTCAAGTTTCCTCCATCTGTCAGTACTCCACTCCTTTTTGTGGCTGAATAATATTCCATTGTTTGAATATGCCACACTTGGTTTTTCTATTCATTATTCATTATTGATGAACATTTGGGTTCTTTCCTCTTTCCGGCTTATAAATAATGAATGCTGCTGTGAACATTCATGTACCAGTTTTTATGGGAACGTTTGTTTTCAGTCTTCTTGGATATGTACCAAAGAGTAGAACTGGTGACTCTATGTTGACCATTTTGGGGAACTGCCAAATCGGGGCTGTATCATTTTAGAATCCAACTGGCAATGCATGAGGGTTCAAATTTCTCCTGTCCTCATCAAAACTTGTCTTGCTTGTTTTAGCCATGCTAGTGGGTGTGAAATGGCATCTCATTGTGGTTTGGATTTGCAGTTCCCTAATGCTGAAGTCAAACAAGACTTTTTTCATATGCTCAGTGGCCATTTGTATATCTTCTTTCGATAAATATCTATTTGATACATTGCCCATTAAAAAAATTAGGCTAATTGTCTTTTTATAGTTGAGTTTTAAGAGGTCACTGCACATTTGGAATATAAGTCTCTTATCAGGTGTACGATTTGCAAATATTTCCCCCCCCCCCCCCCCATTACGTGGGTTGTCTTTTCATTTCCCTTAAAACAGGAAGGTTTTTTCATTTTGATGTAGTCCAGTATATTTTTTTTTTCTTGCTTGTGCTTTTCGTGTGGAACCACCATTGTTTATAGAACACTTTTGGCATTTCAGCTACATTAGTTAACTAAATAGATTTTTTAGAACTGGCCTGTGAACCCAATGCCAAGGAATACTTATAATCTCTCTGGAAAAATGAGGGTGATTTCTGGTCTATAATGATAGTGCAAACATGAAGGGCTGTGAGAGTTTCAGAGGCTGGTGAGGCTCTTGAGCTGGAGTGGTTGGGAAAGGCTCTTGGGCAGAGGAGGGGCTGCGAGTGGCGGGGGTGGAGGTTGGGGGAATCCTGGAAGAAAGAATAAAGCTGAAATAATGTCTGGAACTCCATCCTCTTAGCATGAGTGAAGGCAGCTTGAATTTAGAACACATAAGAGCCTTAGTTGTTCAGATCAGCCATGTTTGTACCATGGGAAATAGGAAAGAACAGAAGACAAGGTAGCTCAATTGGCATGCACTGAAGACCATGGAAGGCATGTCAGTCCCTTAGGCAAGATTGGCTGTACTTTCTCCCTGGTTTCCGAGAGGCCAAGTCTGTTTGGAGGCTCCAGGGTCAGGCTGGCCATCCCTCAAAGAGACTCAACCCTGTTGCTGGCCCTGGAGCATTCTAGCGGAAAAAGAACTAACGACAACCCATGACAACGTGGGGCAAAGGCCTAGCTTCTGAAATTTAAAGCTCTGAGCAACGCATTTTGATAGGTTGACCTGATGAGGCCATTTGAACATGAAAGTTTGAAGGAAATTTCAAGGAATGAGTATAAGGGTTGAGGGAGGGGTTGAGGCTGAGGCTTGGTGTGTGTGTGTGTGTGTGTGTGTGTGTGTGTGTGTGTGTGTGATATTTTATTTAATATCAAGTTATTTAAAACAGATGAAAATTTCACTGTTTGTTTTTTAGTTTGTATCAAAATGTCCCGGTCAAAACTCTGGGTCAAAGCAGTAATGACAAAAAAGTCTCTGTCACCCTGAATCTCTGCCTGAGGATTACCCCCACACTCTCAGCAGCTGAGAGGATGAGAAACGGCCTGCCTCTCCTTGACTCGCTGCCAGACGTCCACTGCCGCAACACTTGTGAGCACAGAAATGATATCTATCTAAACATTTCATCTCTCAGCACCTCCTCATTTCCTGTTAGAGCTGCCCAGTCCCTCTTCACCCCAACACACAGACCCCATGTACCCTTTGGGAGCTCGGTAAATATTTATTGACGATGAAGATAATCACTAAAAATATGTTCCCATCAATGGGATCTATCTCTTGCCACTCAAGTATCTGAAACCCATGAGAACTGCTTCATGGATGTGTTCCCTTTGCTTTAAAACACACACACACACACACACACACACACACAACTCTTCAAACATCCTGTCCCATCTCCTGTGAGATCTGGGAAGATTCATTGGTAGATGGTGTGCACTTACCCATCCACCGTGCTGCTGCACCCACGGCGAGAAGTTCTCTCTCAAGTACTTGGCTCCGAAGCCTAGCACCTTGTTCATGGGGTGGTTGTCAATGGCATTGAGCTTGGCGGCGACATCAATGGCCAGAGCAGCCTTAAAGCCTCGAGCTTTGACCTCTGATTCTCCTCTGGTATCTACTCCCCTTAGGAACTGGTCCGTGATGGTCTTGAAAAGAGTGTAGGACAGACCCTCCTGGAAGCTGCTCATCAAAGTCTTGTCTTTCTTCAGCTGCGTGCAAGAGGATACGCATTCAGTGGAGCAGTTGGGACCAGCAAGACCGACTCCATTGCTCAATGTGGGGCGGGGGGTGGGGGGTGGCACACTAAAACACCGTGGGAGAACCTGGATTCTACTCCAACCCTGGCAAAAGGGCCTGCAGAGTGTACCAGGCATGCGCCTGCTCTGTGTGTTCATTTCAGGGGACAAATCAGTGCATTCATTCCACACTCAAGGAATGTTTCCGGAGCGCTTACAATGTGGATGACTGAGCCCCCTGCCCTCACTCGGGCCTCCCAGTTTCGTGGTAATTACAATCCAGGGCCTTTCCATTCAGCTAGAGGTCATGTCAGGGACTGAATCTGGAGCCTGGAAACCACTGTCCTGGTTCAAACTCCTGCTCCAGCTCTTCCTAGCTGTGCAGTCTTGGAGAAATTATTTAACCTCTCAGCTTCAGTTTTGTCACCTTTAAACCCGGATGACAACAGTAACTGTACTATTGGTTAAGTGAGTACAGTGCTTTGCACAGCGGCCCGCGTGGAGAAGTGTGCTTGGAATGTGAGTAATTTTTCAGGATGCTGTGAGAGGTCAGGGGCGAGGGCATATGGTCACTGAGAACAAACAAACAGACTGAATCCATTGATGCCTTTCCATGGTTCTACTCATCCTGTTCCCCACCCCCCACCCCGCCTCCTCCCACATCCCTCTGCTTCACCGTCTTTGGATTTCCACACCTTTAACCAAAAACACAAGCATCACTTCTGCTTCTTTAAAAAAGCTCGGGGCTCGTGTCACCAAGGCAGACGACACCCTGATGGAAAAGCCGTCCTTGCAAAGTCTGTTAACATGGTGTTTGTCATGTGAAAACAGAAATGACTTCGCTGGGGCTCAATGTTTATTTGAACATTCTCTGTGCTTGAGGAATGAGTTGAGAAGGTTTTCAACAAACCCTGTTTATAAGAGGCATATTCTGGGGATGCGTCAGGCTGTGGGAGGGTTTCGGCCTATGGAATCTGAAGCAGGAACGGCCTGCGTCCTTCACACCCCACACCGAGGATGGACTCCCGCTAATCAGTGCCTCCAGACCTCTGCAGGCGCTGAAGCCTGGACTCGGCCAGACAGCGAAAGAATCAAATGCCTGAAGCACCTTCCAAGGAGCGTCCTGCCTCCTCCCTGCCCCTCTCCTGCCTCTTTCGTGCAGCTGGCCGCACAGGGAGGTGCATCATCAGGGGATGAGCAGCTTTGCAGACGCTCTGCAGCCAGGGCGGACGCCTCCCCAGGGTCACTGTCGCGCTCTGGTGAGAACTCACACCCACACAGCACGAGTCAGAGCTTTCGGTGTTCCTGCTAGAGTTCTTTACTGGGGAACCACATAGAAAAAGAACCACCAGCCCTAGCCTGTTTGGCTTAGGGAATAGAGCATCCGCCTGCAGACTGAAGGGTCGTCCTGGGTTCGATTCTGGTCAAGGCCACATGCCCAGATTGCAGGCTCGATGCCTAGTAGAGGGTGTGCAGGAGGCAGCCAATCAATGATTCTTTCTCTCTCATCATGATGTTTCCATCCCTCTCTCCCTTTTCCTTCTTCCTCTCTGAAATCAATAAAAATACAACCATGTTCTCTACATAAATAGTGCAAAGTATCATCTCAAGTCATCAAAAGAGTGTATTAGAGTGAGGTTTTTTTAAGTTGCCATTTGTGGCGTGAAAGGAAAAGCATCTCTGTTCATAGCGAGAGGGGTTGCTTTGTCCTGCCTCCCAGCCCTGGCCTCCCTGACCCGCTGCCTGTCACTGCTGAGGCCCCTGGACGGAGGCTGCACAGGAGTCACAAGCTGCGAGGAACCCTCGAGGTCCTGGAATGGAGTCCTCCCAGTTCAGGAACTGGACCGTGCCTGGTTATTGGCATCTACTTGAATTCTGCTCGTGACGGGACGATCAGCCCTCCGGAGGCAGCCCCACATGCTGGAAAGGCCATTCTTAAAATGGGGAGGGCCCCGTTGCCCCGCAACGCCTGCCCCCTGGTGTTAGCTCTGGAGAAGCGCAGGGTGTCCCTAAAACCTGAAAAATGTTCTGCTTTCCGCTTCCTGGGCACCCCTGTTCACCCCCTACTTGTGGCCCTGACGTTCATACACCCCTTCTCTCTCTTTTTAAAAAATATATTTTATTGATTTTTTTACAGAAAGGAACGGAAAGGGATAGAGATGAAACATCGATGAGAGAGAAACATCCATCAGCTTCCTCCTGCACATCCCCACCTGAGGATGTGCCCGCAACCAAGGTACATACCCTTGACCGGAATCGAACCTGGGACCTTTCAGTCCACAGGCCGACGCTCTATCCACGGAGCCAAACCAGTTAGGGCTACGTCCCTTCTCTTTAGTCTCAAATCCCTGGTTTTCTCACCGTGTCCCCTCCTGCACCATCTCGCATGCCCTTCAGCTCCCTGGGCACCATCCCCTGGTCCCCGTCTGACATGGGCATTGGGGGAACAGCACAGAGCACACTGTGTCGCCTCCTGCAGAAGCCCCATGGGCCAGACTTCTTCCCCAGGGATCCTGGCCAAATGAGGAACCAGGTCCCCAGGCCAGGCCCTGCCTCACAGGCCCTAGAGACAGCTGGGCACCCTGCTGCTGACCGACATGGAGGCGGCGGCGCTCAGAAGCCCCCTGAGCACAGGGGGAGCCTGCTCACCAGCCCTTCCTCGGGAGGCGCCTCTCACATGTTTCTCATTGGAACGATGGGTCTCGACTTCTAAACGGCAGGAAATCCAAAGTTCCAAGTAACACTAGCCGGCCTCCCCAGCCCAAGTGCTAAGAGACCCGGAGCAGAGAACAGTCCAAGCCACTCAGGGGGGCGGGGCGGGGGGGGATTTCAGACGGGGCTCCAGCCCCGGAGCAGCTGTGGGTCACAGATATCCTGGCTGCAGGGCCAACACGAGAGTCTAAACTTCCCCGAGGATCAGTTACATGGGGAGCGGGGCTCAGAATTCCGTGCAGCGGGTCTGTAATTTATGGGTGTCTTTTCTTACAATAACAAAGTTAACTTTCCTCCTTTCCAAAAATTCCGAGGAGGCTCCAGGAGGTTTAGCTATGTTTTCCAAAGTGATTCATTTTTGAGACACTGCCAGCGCGAAGAATTTCGATTCCAAGGGAAATAAAATTTAGGACTCAGTGTAAACCCGAACTTTGACAGGGGCATACAACTCCGTTCTCGTGGACCAGGGCATGGGCACAGAAATAAACCGTTAGTTCAAGCTCCGTACCTCTCTTTCCATCTGATCCCCTGAGTATTTCAGCAGCTCAACGATCTTGGCTATGATTTGGTCTTCTCCGTCTGTCGGGAAAATCCAGTTATTTTTTTTTTCAAGAAAAAAAAAAAATCTTACATTTTCCCAGGGACCGTGCTTAGCCTGGTTGGGGATGGAGGAAGATAAGTGTCTTGTAATTCTTAGAAAATTAAATCATACTTCCCTTTTGCTGATGAGGCACAAACACTCCCAGACACATTCCCTTTTCCTTCCTTCTTCTCCCTCCTTCCCTCAGTCCCCAGTTCTCACCATGAAATTCATCACTCCGTTTACTGGAACAATGATGTTGGAGATGTTAGTTCCGCTACACATGATCCTGCCTCTAACGCTAGTTAGGAGGAATTTCTCCCTGGTCTTTGGGCTTCGCCTGAGCAGATGGTGCTTTTCCCACATGGACCCCATCAATCCCCTATTTGACCACGCTTCTCCTTGTGTTAGCTGCTAGACAAGGTAGAGCCAAATTCATGGTCCCTCCACCCCCATCTAAGAGGGGGCATAGTCTTTCTGACCTGCATTTTGAGAATTAAACTCACTTCTAAACCCACCGTATCTTCCTGCTGTTGTTTTCTTTTTCCATTGTCCTTCACGTTTATTTTAACATATCCAAAATGTCTACTTTGCATGCCGTGTCTTCACAACAAAACAAGGTGGGGAATAAATGGATGAGCTTTCTCCTACCCCAAAGGCTAACGTGGCAGAGGGATCCAGAGACGGCTCTAGTGTGTGTGTGTGGTGGTGGTGGTGGTGGGGGGGAAGGGGTGTCAGAACAGGGGAGGAGGAGTAGCAGGGCTTGTCTTGTCTCAAACATGCTGACAGTGATACACGAGGGAATGGTCATCGCCTTAGCACAGAATCCAAACAGAGAAAAGCCAGTTACCGGGAGAACATTTTTTTTTTTTTTTTTTTTTTTTACTTATGGCACAATCTCTAAAGTCATGGAGTCCTCATGTTTGTTCTCGATAAAAGGGAGAGAGGCCAAGAAATTAATCTAGCACATCCCGTCGCAAGAAGGTTGAGCGAAGGGCACGGTACGTGGGAAGCCTGAGGTCCGGGTCACCTGGGAGGAGGAAGAATGTGTGTCTCGTCGGCTATGTGTAGCTTCTCGCTGCGGCTGCCTCTCCTGGGAAGGCTGCAGCGGCGCCCAGATTCCGTGTGCGCGGAGGGGAAGAGCCTTAGTGTTGGCTGGGCTCAGGGCTTTGCTTCACATGGCCCGGACACACCCATGGGAGCCATAAAGAGGAGACACACTCTTCCCCGCAGACGGAGATGTGTCCCCTCCTCCAGCCCCTCAGTCTAAGCCCCTGTGGGAGTTTTGGTCCCAACAGCACCGCACAGGGTGGTGAACTCACCACTTTGCTCCGTGGTTCGAAGACACTTTTGCCTGTGCCCAGACCTAGGACCACCTCTGCTCCTCAGCCCCCACTGGAGTTTGGGGGACAACACCGGGAGAGGAGGCTGTCATTGGTGGAAGTGCAGGATGGAACTGGGTCCCACTCCCAACTCCAGAATTCCTTCGAGTCCGATGGGATCTACGGTCCGAGCTATTGCTGCAGTTTCAGTGACAACTGACCCCATCTGGTCATTGCTTCTCAGTTCTGCTTCATGTCCTGCCCTAGACCTGGTGTCTGACACCCATTCCCCTGCTTTTTCACAGAAGCCCAAAAGCAATCCCATATAATAAAAGCCTAATATGCAAATTGACCAAACTGCAGAATGACTGGTTGCTATGATGCACACTGACCACCAGGGGGCAGACACTCAACACAGGAGCTGTCCCCATCCCACAGGCCCCAGGCCAGCCAAAGTGGGTGCCAGCAGGGGGGTCCCAATTGCCCTGCCCATCACCCCACAGAGGGAGGTGACTGGCAGCAGCAGTGGGGGTGGAGCTGGCAAGTGGGCGGTGCCAGGATGGCCAAGTCAAGTGCCAGTGGGGGCCCCTGATCGCCCTGCTGGTCACCCCACAGATTGGCCCTGATTGCTGACCAGGCCTAGGGGCCCTACCCGTGCATGAATTTCATGCACTGGGCCTCTAGTATTATGTATACTTCCCTGTGCTGGTGCTCAATCCACACCCTCTGCACTCCCACAAGCAAACTGGTCCCTGGCCACTGCTAACAGGATTACATCTAACCCCGCTCGTCCCCCTGCGGACAAAGTTGGTTGCACGCTTTGTACTTCCTCCTCTCCCTCACCAGACTTCTCTTTAGACGTAGCAGTGAGCTTGGCATGTGGCTTCCATCTGCTGGCACACTCCCCTTGGCTTGGGCCCTCAAGCTGAAGGTCAGTGCCTCCGGCAGGCTGCCGTCCTGCCCTGGGTCCAGGTCAGCTGAGATTCCTACACCCAGGGCCGAGCTGAGTCAGTATGTGGATGCTCCCGTGCCTCGGCCTGGAGACGCCCAGCCCCACACACACTCTCCGAGGGGAGTTTACCTTTCTTGGCATTTGCAGCTGGAGGCTGAGAGCTCAGGCCCTCCGAGACAAAGAGGAGGGTCCTCCCTTGACACTTGATGCTTCCTCCCTGGCTGTGCTCTTCGGGAGGTGGCCAGGAGTTAACAATTTCAGCCACTCGGTTGGCAATGGAAGCAACTTTGGTGTCCACAGCTGAAACAAGAGAAAACGACGCTGAGAGCCCTTCCCACAACGTGGTGGCGATAGTGGCTGCACAGTTGCCTGGTCTGAAAAGAGGTCTGAGAGTGTGTGTGCGGGGCAGGTCATTCCTCAGAAGGCACTGGCAGTTGCCTGGCAGAGGCTGGGATGGGGGAGGAGCCCAACGAGGCATGGTTGCCACTTTGAAACTGGGATCCTTTTGCACCCTCCGTTTGAAGTCTTGTAAAACTAGGGTCCCCTTCCCCTTTGAGAGGAGGAAACACAAAGGGGAGGGCTTAGTTCTTTGCTTGAGGAAATGCTCATTATGCTTTTATTTTTATTCTATTTTTTCCTCCCAGACCCTTTATATTTTGGAGAGCTGACCCTTATGTGCATAGGAGGACATCCAATAGTTTGACAAGCCTTTGGGCGTAGGTCATGGAAGAAAGATAAATATCCCTGCTCTCGGGCCATATTCATTACTCAAGTCCATTATCAAGTAAACACTGAGCTCTCCTTGCTTTTAGAGTCACATGTTTCCTCTCTCCTTCAGATCTACCTGGAAACGTTCCACCAAGACTGATAGGAAGCAAGGACATGTGAAGTGCAACCCATAACCTTCAAGAATGTATAATCCAGCCGAAACCGGTTTGGCTCAGTGGATAGAGCGTCAGCCTGCAAACTGAAAGGTCCCAAGTTTGATTCCGGTCAAGGGCATGTACCTTGGTTTCCGGCACATACCCAGTAGGGGGTATGCAGGAAGCAGCTGATCAATGTTTCTTTCTCATTGATGTTCCTAACTCTCTATCCCTCTCTCTTCCTCTCTGTAAAAAATCAATACAATATATTTTAAAAACAACAACAACAACAACAAAAACAGAGAGAGAGAGAATGTATAATCCAGGGAAAGAGCAAGGCGTATATTTGCACACGTAACTAGGGAAGAAAACACATTTTGGGAGGGAAGGTTTCAATGATGTTGGCTCTCTGGATGTCATAGCCTGTGAAAGACCAGTGGGACTGGCGGGGTGGGCAGGTGCTATCACTGGCTTGTTTGGGAGCAAAATGTTCATTGTCAATTCATTACTAAGTTCTTAACTTTTGGAAGCGTGTCCAAGCTTTATCTTCCATGCCATTGGAAGCAATTGTATTGTGTAATGCGTGAAAGTGATACTATTTCATTGACAGGCTTGAGGTAACAGAGGGGTTTTGGCGGGAAGGTGGCAGTGTCTGGGAAATCCCCTTATCAATCAGGAGGGGTGAGAGGCAAGGCCCGGGTCTCAGGAGGGGTTGTGTAAAACACAGGGACCCCTGCGCCTCTCTCCCTGGCCTCCTCCAGGGCGTGTGTTTTGGTGTTCTCCTTTCACTCCTGGGCATTCCCAGAAAGGTCACAGAGACTGCTGCTCTGCCCCATGTCCCCTTTTAAAAAAGGCAGAATGGCTTCCTTAAAAAGTCACTTTTCATGCTCCACCCACAAGGTTCAATAACAGATCCATGAGTTGGAGAATAGAGAGGTCAAGGACAGAAGAATCAATGCTTTCATTCCCATTTGAACAGCCAAATATACTTTCCACTTCTAATCACCCTCTCAGCCCAACCAGCCTCCTCTTGAACTCTCACCACCCGTGTCCCTTGGCAAGGACATGGCGAGAGGCTGGATCCCAAAGCCAATGGGAACCTTCCTTTGAAGTCCACAGGATCCGGAAAAGAGGAGCTTGTGTTTTCTACCTCTGTGACCTTGTGCAGCCTGTCTAGGATGTTCAGTGCATGGTTCTCCTTATGCCGAATCTTTTGCACTCAAAGAAAGCAGATAAAGGACCCAAAGGCTGTCCCTCCTCACCCCCACCCCCATGTGGCAGGACAATCACAGGACCCTGGCAGTTACAGAAGTACCCAACCTGACTTACCTGTGTACAGTGTATGGATTTCTCCAGGGGGTGGTGGGGAGAAGAGAATTGAAAGCAAACACATTTTGACGCAGGTGAACTAGCTCTAGTTAAGATTCCCATTTTGAACACCTTAATTTTAAACACTGAAAAAAGACAAGATTCCTTTCTTGTCAGAGTAGGTTCCACCTGATAGGCAAGAGAAAATTGGGTGGGGGTGGAGAGAGAACAGAAAGGCTGCCCATTCTTTGGCATCTATTTTGAGGGAGTCATTGTGGGGCTAAGGGGAGCAGAGTTGGGAAGGTGCTGTTCAGCCCTTGGCCCGAGACTTTTGATTTATAGAGAAGGGGCAGGAAGTCTGGGAGGGATTTCCATATGGTTGAGAATGCTATTTCCCACCCAGTATCCAGCTTTGAGGTTGGAAGCCACTAGCTAAGGGGTGGAAAGAATAGAATCCCTAATGACTATGGAACTACCATATCAGGCCTGGGCTGCCAAAGGTTGGTCTTCTTTTAAGGGAGAGAAGAGTAACCTCTAGGCCATCTGGGATACCTGCTGCGACAGGACTTCCTTGGTGACAAATATGCTTGGAAGGCTGTGGTCCAGGCCATTTTTTGTTGGCTGTAAGCAGAGTCTCTGGAACCAGAGGGAGCACACAGCTCTTCTTAAAATGGAAGATGTTGATGCTCAAGATGAAACTGAATTCTATTTAGGCAAGAGATGTGCTTATGTGTACGAGGCAAAGAACAACACAGTGGCCCTAACTGGTTTGGCTCAATGGATAGAGCATCGGCCTGCGGACTCAAGGGTCCCAGGTTTGATTCCAGTCAAGGGCATGTACCTCAGTTTCAGGCACATCCCCAGTAAGGGGTGTGTAGGAGGCAGCTGATGGATGTTTCTCTCTTATTGATGTTTCTAACTCTTTATCGCTCTCTTTTCTTCTCTGTAAAAAATCAATAAAATGTATATTTAAAAAAAAAAAAAAAATAACAACACAGCGATTCCTGGTAGCAAACCAAACAAAACCAGAGTCGCCTGGGGAAATGAAGTCATGCTCATGGAAACAGTGGCATGGCTCGTGCTAAATTCTGAAACAACTTTCCTGCTAAGGCCAATGGACACCGAATCTGTGTAACACTGTACCCCACAAGGATTTGAACTCACTGAAAAGAAAACAAATAAAAGTAGATATGTTAAAAAAAAAAAAAAGGAAAATAACCTCTACATTATTTAAGCCATGGTTATCTGAGTGTGTCACTATATGTGTGCTGCTGAGCCTGTTCTTAACTGTCACGTTTCACATGTAGTGAATCATAGCTGTGGGGAAACCAAAGACTCACAAGTGAAAGAACCTGGGTTGTCAGTTTCTAAAAAATTGGTATTGACACCCATTTTTCTACATTGTAAGACCTCTCAGTACTAGACTCTGGTCTTGAGACATCACCTCATAGCCCTCAATTAAGGCAGGAGCCCAAGTCCTGGAAATGGCAGCCCTGGCCACATTGTGACCTTTAGTTAAAAGAACCTTGAGGATGCCAACTGCTGAGCTCTGACTTGCATGAGGCAAAATAGAAATGGAATTGGAAGCTCTCTGGGGTCACACCCAACATAAAACCAGCTAATCACCCACACAATTATTTGAACAAGAAAGCAAGGAAGAAAAAATAGGCGAGAAGAGAGGATAACTGTATAAAAATGTCTGAAGCTAAGTCTACTAGAAGGTAACTATTTCTGTTTTTTAGGGATATCTATCTGTCTATCTATCTACCCACCTACTTACCTACTTATATAGACATCTTAAAATTTTAAGAACGAAATAAAGGTCAAGTGACATGAGTAGTATGGAAATACAGAACGTCATTCCTCTCAGCAAAGCCAGAAGATGAAGGTCTGTAAAATCATCTGTCTCCTGGCAAAGTCCAAAGAACAGGCCAAGCAGAAAAGCCTGTGTTTGGTAGATGCCTTCGAATGGCTCTGTTAGCTCCAGAGCTCAGCGACCACGCCCAGCAGAGGGCGCTGCTGTGCTTCTGGGGAAGGGGAGCTCCCCAGATAATCCCAACCTCATGTCTGCTCTCTGTCTACTGGGAAGTAGAAGAAGCTTCCTTGGTCATAGTGAATGATCTAGAGCTGTCCATGTGTGAGCTCATTCTCCAGGCCAGTCACAAGATTGAAAAGCTGAGACATTACTGCCACCTGTTGACCAATTTTAGATAAGTTACACAGTCCAACCAGCCCAGCAGGAGAGGAGATTTCGTTTAGAATCTGGGCACCAGGCATGGTGTTGTTGGAGGAGAAAAAGCAACTTATGCCAAGCTTTGTGTAGGAAGGTCAACTCTCCGAAGAAGTCTCTTATGAAAACGTTTTATTCAATACGATAGATTTTGTCCCTCTGAGGGGAGATTTTGTAAGAGTGCTTCAAAGTTGTCTTTTTAGAGGGGTTTAGACTTTGAAAAGTATTTCTGTATGTAGCTACCTGATCTTTCCATCTCTCCTAGGAGCTAGGGAGGGTGAGATGCTCCTATGTAGAGATGGAAACACAGAGGCTCACTGAGGTGAATTGACTTACCCCAGGAAGAGAGGCAGCCAAGCCCCTGGCTAGAGCACTTCCCCTTATACTGGTCTCCCACACAGAGGGTGAGGAATTTGGGCAGTAAGCTTATTCATAGACAGTGAAGCCAGAAAAATCAATCCCATCACCTTTCACTGACACCCTTTCCTCTCTGCTCAGTCTTAAGGAAAGTAGGGCCATTATGACTAAATATCAATAATTTAGGAACTGGAGACACAACGAATGTCTTGCTGAAGGCTGCATTACAGTTGGGAAGAGATGAACTACCGTGCGTACAAAGAAGGAAAAGATTTGGTTGCAGGAGAAAAAGAATCCCATCAAAGCTTACCTTGGGTCTCTAAGGTTGGTCCCTGGTTGGAAATGGACCTGGAACATTGTTGACGACCACCCTCATACTCCAATCGCTTTATATCCTGAGCCTGGATCTTCGTAGGCAAGCTCTCTGAATCTTCATCTTTCTCTGCTACTCCAAAGAGAGATCTCCAAGAGGACTTTTTCTTGGTGAGGCTTATGGCCTTCTCACTAGATCGGGAACTTCTGCAAGGCCACGGCACCTGTGTCCACGACTCATTTGCTGACCAGTTCCCCAGTCCTTTCTGGGACAGACTCCTGGTCCTCTGCAGCTTTGGTGAGAAGACAGCAGACGTGCTCTTGAAGACGTGGTGTTTGGCGTAGAACTCCAGGATTTGGAATTCGATGCTGTTTGCATCATCATCATCCAGGGGGATCTCCTCCAGGTCGCACGCACTGGTGGTGCACATGGCGGGGCTGCAACGATAAAGCCCACGCCTGTCCTCTACCTGCGGGTGCCTCCTGTCGGTCAGGAGAGCCAAGGGTGAAACGCCATGAACAATTGTTGAGCGCCTATTCAATTTGTCCTGGGAGATGGGAGGAGTCTGGAGATGAAAGTTCAGTCTCATAGAGACAAGGAGGAGAGACAGGGACATAGATAACTCCATACAGTGAGCTAGGGCTGGAGCAGGGGTGCAGAGCCAGGCAAGGATGATGGGGAGGAATAGAAGCTGCAAATCAGGGGTGAGTGATGTCACTTTGACAGATAAAAGGGTTTAGGCAGGTGGGTGGGTAGTGGGGCTAAGGACTGGATGGGTAGAAGAGGGTCTATGGATGAATTTAGGTGTTTGAATAGGGGTGAGAGAACTGTAAGGCATAAGCTGTGTGGTTAGCCAGGGGCTCAGGATGTGGAGGGACAATAAATGAAGTGGCAGTCGGGGCCAGGTTATGGGGACTTTCGAATGGTAGGCTGAAAGCTTTGCATTTGCTCATGTTGGTCAATCAGGCCTTTCAAAAGAAGCCCTATGGAGGGCAGCTCCAGGCCTTCTTGGGAGTTAAAGGTCTTCTTCTAGGTGGGCAAATGAGAAGGCCTCTGTCTGGGGTGTATGGCCCTTCCCATCTTCTTTCCCTTCTTCCTTTACACTCTACTTTAGCTGTACAGATTTGCTTATTTATTTGATTATTTAGTTTGAGAGAGAAAGAGAGAGAGAGGAGAGCAACACATTGATTGGCCTCTTCCTGCACGTTCCCTACCGGGGATCAAGCTCACAACCAAGGCATGTGCCCTAACCAGGAATCTAACTGGCAACCTTTTGGTGGTACACTGGACAACACCCAACCAGCTTAGCCACACCAGCCACGGTTGTTTCTGTCTCTTTCCATATTTGGTATCCCACGTAAGATCCATCTGTAAAACCCTGCAATTTTTTAAAACAAATTTTAAGACTACTGATGGAGCCAAAACTGGTTTGGCTCAGTGGATAGAGCATCGGCCTGCGGACTAAGGGTCCTGGGTTCGATTCCGGTCAAGGGCATGTGCCTTGGCTGTGGGCACATCCCCAGTGGGGAGTGTGCAAGAGGCAGCTGATCAATGATTCTCTCTCTTCGATGTTTCTAACTTTCTATCCTTCTCTCTTCCTCTCTGTAAAAAATCAATAAAACATATTAAAAACAAAACAAAACAAAACAAAAAACCCTTCACTTTAAAAAAAAAGACTACTGATGGAGGCAATGGATAACTTTTCAGTTTTGAGCAGGAGAGTGATGTGATCACAGACGTATTTTAGAAAGATCAGTAAAAGAAAAGAAAAAACATGACAGGGATGGGAGGGTTTATTTTCATATGAATAACCAAATAAATATAATAAACTGATTTTGTTCAGTTTAAGCTTTCATGAAATCATTCCTTTTCTGGTTCCCTGCTGGGAAGGCATTTCTCTTTGTTAAAAGTCTACTTTGCTTCCTTCTGAGTGAAAGATGTTGCTCAGAAATATTGAGACCTGAGGTGGGTCACTGAAGTGGACCAAGGACTGTGCTACCTGAGACACATAAGGAATGAGCCCAAAAGGATGCGGCGAGAGCAGGAGAGCAGGCTGTGGGGGCAGAACTCTGGGCAGCAACTTGGTATAAAAGGGGCTGAACCCAGGCCTGAGCCCAGAGCTAGAATATGTCAGGAGGGGATTGCTGAGGTGTTTCATTTGAAGCTTCCTTTTGAATTGGATAATCCAGGACACTGTGGGCAGAAGGTACATTTGGATTCCATAGGAACTATGTACTCAGATCACAATATTATGCTTCCATAGACACCTCCATATAAGTTTGTGTTTTTTTAAAACAAAACCTGAGACCTTTCGAATGTAAGGGTGTGTGCGTATGTGTGTCATTTTTGGAGAGAGGAAGGTCAAACTTATTTAAGAAACAAGTTTGCTAAATGCTGATTCAGGAGCAACCTCGGAGCAGAGGAAAAACCACGGAGGCCACGAAGGACCACAGAGTCCTTCCATTTTGTGAAAGGAATTTTTGATGTGCTGTAGGCTAGAAAGGGAGTAGTTGGCCCACGCAACAGGCAATATCAAGGACGAGAGAGAAGCAGAGAGCACAGCAGAGTGAGGCAGTGGCCACCCCAGTGAATGGGGCAACCCTACGGAGGGAGTGGGTGCTAGGACCAGGCCCTGGAAAGAACTTGACTAAAAGGGAATACATCCTATCTAATAAAAGAGTAATATGCATATTGACCATCACTCCAACACACAAGATGTCTGCCCCTATGTGGACACAGATGGCCACCACAAGATGGCCAGCAGGGGAGGGCAGTTGGGAAGGACCAGGTCTGCAAGGGAGGGCAGTTGTGGGTGATCAGGGGAGGGTAGTTGGGAGGGACTCAGGCCTGCAGGAGAGAGTAGTTGGGGGGACCAGGCCTGGATGGGAGGGCAGTTAGGGATCACCAGGCCTATAGTGGAGGGCAGTTAGGGGCAAACAGGCTGGCAAGGGAGTGGTTAGGGGATGATCAGGCTGGCAGGCAGAAGCGATTAGGGGCAATCAGGAAGGCAGGCAGGCGAGCAGTTGGGATCCAGCAGTCCTGGATTGTTAGAGGGATGTCTGACTGAATGGGCAGTTAGACATCCCTAGAGGGGTCCCAGATTGAAGAGGGTGCAGGCTGGGCTGAAGGACATCCACTCCCCTGAATGAATTTCATGCACTGGGCCTCTAGTGGAGACATAAGTGTATTTCTTAAGACACTATAAATGCATTTGAGAAGTGTAGGTTTATTTTCCTCACTAATCCTCACTGTGAATTAAGGGAGAGCTATTGTTCAATGTACAGCTAAGTCTTAAAGCAGCAGTGAGCTAGGTTATCACACATTGGACCCCTTCTGCTCTCAGCTATTCCTTGTAAGAAGGAAAAGCCCAAGATCTGGGTTTTGGAAACTTACACCATAGGCTTATGCTTAAATTCATGGTCTCAAGGCCTTGGGTGGAGCTCTTAAGCAAGAGGTGGGCAAGACAGGACCATTGATCAGCTATGGCACAGTCACATTTGTTTATTTTTTGTCTATGGCTGACCCTGCGAGTGTATTAGAAAGATTCCTTCCCCTCTGGGCTTCACAGTCCTTGTCTGTAAATTTAGGGAATGAGAGCCCTGCTTCCTCTGTCTGTTGTGGGGTTAAGTGAGGATGCAGGTTAGTGCCTGGTGTAGCAGGTATTCAATGATGGTCCCTTTGCTGCCCTCACTGAAGACGGTGAGCTACCTGTGACTCCACTAGACTGCAAGGCCAGGGGGCAGGGCCAGCTTGTCCTATGGTCAATGTTATAGCCCTAGGAACCAGCATAGTTCCTGACCCAGAACGTACTACTTTGGGAGGCATAGTAGAGACTATCAGAAAAAATTGAAGAGCTGATTCTGAGGTTTGGGTCTAAAGTGTTCACACCTGCCAAAACTGGTTTGGCTCAATGGATAGAGCTTTGGTCTGCAGACTGAAAGATCCCAGGTTCAATTCCAGTCAAGGGCATATACCTTGGTTGCAGGCACATCCTCAGTAAGGGGTATGCAGGAGGCAACTGGTTGATGTTTCTCTCTCATTGATGTTTCTAGCCCTCTAAACCTCTCCCTTCCTCTCTGTAAAAAAAAAAAAAAAAATCAATAAAACATATTTAAAAAAATAAAAAAAAGTGTTCACACCTGGCATCAGGCATGGGTGAGTGGGAGATGGAGGGGAACCCCTGGGCCTTGCCTGTCGTGAAAGCCTAAAACCTCAGGTGGGCTCTGTCCTACCCTAGGGAGGGCGTGGAGACTGGTCCCGTTCAAAGAAAGACTCTGGGGATCTGGCTATTGTACTCTGATCACCTTTTATTTACATATTCTCCCCTTATCTGTAGCGAACTGTGCAAACTTACTCTCCAAACCAAGGTTACACAACTCCTTTGGCTGGCCTCTTTTCCTTCCCAGAGAGCTCCTTTCCCCCAACCCCCTAAATGGCCCAAGTCCTTGGGGTCTTCTCCGGCTTGTCCTTTCGGATCCCAAGGTGAAGGCGCTGGGGTGTGGGAACAGCTACAGAGCCCAGAGCTGTGGGGGAAGCACCTAAACTCCTAGGAATGCCAGACACCCTTTTGGGGATTTTTCTAGTCCTGGATTTGTTTGTTATCTTCCCTGTGGAAGATAATACCATGTTTCCCCGAAAATAAGACATCCTCCGAAAATAAGACCTACTTACAGGTTTCCTTCTGAGTGAAATATAAGGCATCCCCCAAAAATAAGGCCCCTTAGGCTAAACATGAGAGATTTGGTCCACTGATTCTGAAAGAAATGGAGTCACAAGAAATTCACCAGGAAATTCAGGAATTAGATTGTTATAATGATGTTCCAGAAGATGATGACATGATTGTCATTGAATAAATGAGTAAATTCTTGATACTGTAGGATTCACAGTTTGGTTTGTGTTGACAACTACTGTACTACTGTACCGTATACAGGTAATAAATTTCCTTTATTTTCATTTAACAATAAATGTGTACCATATTCTTCTTCATGGAAAAATAAGACATCCCCTGAAAATAAGACCTAGCGCATCTTTAAGAGCAAAAATTAATATAAGACACTGTCTTATTTTCGAAGAAACAGGGTAAATGCAGGAAAAGAGGAAGCAGGCTGCCAAGACCTGTGCCACAGGTAAGCGGGACACAACTTTGCATGGTCTGTCCCAGATATGAGGGCTGTGGAGGTCCCCTGGGCAACAGGCTCAGCTAAAGAGCTAACTTGCAATGCTCTGGACACAGCTGAGACCCGAGGGTAACTCACGAGCTGTGGGTGGAGGACAGATACTCATCTCAAGGGAGGTTCCTAGACCAAAAGATGAGCTAAACTTGAGCTTCCCCTGGAGCACCCTTTGCCCCAAGCTCTCTGGAGACTTTCCTTCCTCCTTACTAATTCTTCCTTCTCCAAACTTGTGACCTTTGGATTTTTTCATTCCTTCTCCCCTGTTTGTCATTTCTGAGTATGACTTGTTCTTTAATCCTAAGGTGGGCACGAGAAATGTGGTAAAATGCCTTAACTTTCTACAATAGGAGCTAAACTGAGAGACAGAGCCTTAGAGGTCATATAAGTCAAACAAAAGGACCAAGACTCTAATGGTAGGACAGAGAGTGCAGACACCAGACAGGAGGAAGCTTTCTAGAGGGGAGAGAGAGCAATTTCCCTTGTAACCTGGGCCTGGAACTCAAGGAAGTCTCCATGGGGTCGGCCAGGACTAGACCTTATGCCCAAGTTCCCTCAGGCTGCTCAGGACTCTGGGCCCAAACCCAGGATTCCTGTCCTCAGCCCCATCCCTGCTCCAGAGAGGAAGTCAGCATCTCCATGGACCACTGACCTGCTGGCCATGTCCTCACATATTTAATGAGAGACAGATGCATCGTATTAAAGACAATTCAGCCCGTTATAGAATCTTAACTGAACTATCCCAACTGTCTGTAGCAAAGGAGAAATGAAAGAGAAACCTAAATATCTTCTTTCCCTTTCTTTTTAAAAAAATGTTGCTGAGACTGACATGGTAAGAACTTTTTAGTCAACTCAGTAAACATCTCTCCTAGTTAGACTGTCCCATTGCTAGTAAAACCAGGACTGAAGACCCAACTGCGTCCTCCCGGGAAGGCTGAGAAGGAAGACAGGTGCCTCCTGGTGTTACCTGGTCTGGAAGCTGTCAGTGGTTTCTCCTGCTTCAGATAGGTGGCAGTAAAGTTATTTCTATAGCTGAATCTCTCTCCACGAAATAGAAGAGGAAACTTTCACCAGGTCTTCTTGGCTTCTCATTTGGGAAGGTTTGTGGGATCTAAAACTTCATCTGGTGGGACCTCTTCAGCGTTAGGACTCAGGTTAATGAAGTAAGCTTCGGGGAAGGATTGCCACTTCCTGGTTAAGCCCTGCCCCCAGCTTTTAACTGAAGGAGTGGCTGACCTCTGCCCATGTAATTTGGCTTTAAAAAGGTTTTGCATCTTTTGTTTTTAAGTTGGCAGCCCAAGGTTCTTTTTTTTTTTTTTTTAATTTTATTTTATTGAATTTATTGGGTAGCAAGAATTCTCACTTCCCTCCAGAACAATTATGTGGGTATTTTCCTGGTAGTTTTTATTTTTACTCTCCTCTGTTCAGCAAATGTTTACTGACCACCTATCACATGACAGATATTATACAAATACTTAATCTTAACTACCTTTTGAGGCAGGGGTTACGATTCTCATTTTACAGATGAGCAAACGGAGGCTCAGATAGGTCAGATTGATTTTTTCCAGAGAGCAAGGGAGAGGGATAGAGAGTTAGAAACATTGATGAGAGAGAAACATTGATCAGCTGCCTTCTGCACACCCCCTACTGGGGATGTGCCCACAACCAAGGTACATGCTCTGTTTGAGATCGAACCGCAGGCTGACTGCTCTATTCGCTGAGCCAAACTGGTTAGGCAAGGTCAGATATCTTGCTTGTGGTTCTTATCAGTTAAGCTGATATCCAAACCCTGGTCTTTCAGGCTGCACACCATATCATGTTACCCCTGCCTTTCTGAATCAAAGATTATAGTCAAGTGGAACCAATGGAAAAGCTTTAAAAATTGAATCTATCCCTAGGTGTAGTAAATCCAAAACTCACTTAAAGATCCTATGCCACAATTCTAGGGATAGAATTCCTGATATACATGAAAGAAGAAACCCTTAAATATGATTTTACACTCTATCTAAATTCTTAACTGAAATAGACATTTGTGGCCATATTATTGACCAGGAAACTATGAGAATATTAGGCAAAAAAGATCCATGGGGGGCAAATGAAGAGTGGTTATGGAAAAGTCAGTTTTTCAGTGACTCAAAGTGAATTTTAACTGACAAAACTAATATTTATTGTGCATAATATACATCAGTCTAGTCAACTTAAGGGGTATTAAAATATTTAAAATGTTCTATTCTCATTTTAAAAATAACCTTTTGGGGGAAGATGATATATATTTATTTGAAACAATTCAAGAATAAACAAATGCACAAAATCAATAACTAAGCCATATACTATGGACTACAGTTGTTACCAGAACTCAGAAGTATGGCTTAATGACTGTGGCTTCAAAAATCATTTTGAATCCCACTTAGCCTTGGCAAGGTGGGTATGAATACAGAAAGAGGCAGTTGGCCAGGGAGACAGATTCACTGAGGACAGAGAATGTCCAGTAATCATCCAACTTCTCATTTCTCCCACCCAACAAGCTGGCATGTAATAGAGATGGGACCTGAAACATCTACACTGATAAAAAGAGAAAGATGCAAATTGACCATATTTCCATGATGCCCACCAACCAATCAGGAGCAATTATGCAAATTAGCCCAGCAAAATGGCAGTTAATTTGCATATGCAGGCACAGAGCAAAGACTGAAGACTGAAGGCTCTGCTGAAGGCTGAAGGCTTGACTTCACTGTGGCCCAGGTCCTGGGTGCCAGAGGAAAACTGGTGCTGGCAGCCAGGGGAAGGAAGGCCTATTGCACAAATCTTCGTTAAAAACCAAAACCAAACCCACTTTTTTCCTGATTCTAAAAATATATGTAACATTGTAGAACAATTGAAAAACATGAAAGGGCACATATATAAAGCTGTTACTAGAGCACCCATAAATGAACATTGTCATCTGTGGTCATGGTTTTGAGTAGTTATTTATCCAAGTTTGAGAGCTTTCAAAATAAAATCAACTATGGATATTGCTTTGAGTAACATCTAGATAAAGCAATCCAGTTATTACTTGAAGAACCCTTTTTCTATTACCTCAATCCAAGATACTGTTATGCTGTCTCAAAACTGAGCCGGATTGAGAAAAAGATGGCTGCTACTCTGTTTGGAAAAATACCATCCTCAACTGTACAAGAGACTTTGCAAAATTTCCTTAAGGTTGAAGATCTACACCCTGTTTTTTTTTTTTTTTTTTTTTTTAATCCAATGACATGTTCCTTTCCAAGTGTTACAAGGGTCTTAAGCAAACAGATAATGCCATGAAGTTCCATAATTTGGCAGGGCAGCTTCCTTGTCTTACCAGAGAGGATAAAGATGCAGAGGAAGGGGTGAAAAAAATAAGCAATACTTTGAAGAAGTAAATCAAAGAACTTAGTCTTCCACAAATCAGATGTGGTCTACTAAATATTAAACATATCAAAGTTGTGTTTTTTATGTATCCTTTTTTCAATGTAAGGGTAATATGCTCAGATTTAAAGGTAAAGCCACTTTTCTGTAGAATGCATTCACTAGTAGAGCACTACAATACCAATCATGTTATTTGGAGAGGTCTATAATGTCAGCATAAAATGATCTTTAAAAATGTATGCTTTATATTTTTCCTAACAATAAACCACATTCTTCAGGAAAGTAAAAAGGAGGAGGCCTCAGGGGTAAGTCAGGGTTCTGGTTAAACTGAACCTGATGGGATTCTTGCTAAAGGCAGGCAATGTGACCTGCCAGCACCTGGGTGTTGGTCAGGGATGAAGAATTTTAGTCAGATATCAAGGGAGGGAGATTCTGGATAATTAGATTTAGCAAGATTCTTATCAAATCTGGGCTTTTAGAGAGCATGCCCAAGGAAGGGGCTTCGTTGGCCTCAGAGGATCCTCAATAGCCTTTGGTCATGGAGAGAGTCTTTGTCAGTGACTGTGACAAAATACAAATACAAGAATAGAGAGGCCTGGAATACATCTCAGATTGAGCTGAGGTTCTTGAAAATGTTCATAGCAGCCGAGACCGGTTTGGCTCAGTGGATAGAGCGTCGGCTTGGGGACTGAGGGACCCGGGTTCGATTCCGGTCAAGGGCATGTACCTTGGCTGCGGGCATGTCCCCAGTGGGGGGTGTGCAAGAGGCAGCTGATCGATGACTCTCTCTCATCGATGTTTCTGGCTCTCTATCTCTCTCCCTTCCTCTCTGTACAAAATCAATAAAATATATAAAAAAAAAAAAAAAAAAAAAAAAAAAAAAAATAGAAAATGTTCATAGCAAAAGGAGGGATTTTCCAGATTCATTTACAAGAACAGGAGGAGCCAAAACAGGTTTGGCTCAATAGATAGAGCGTCAGCTTGGGGACTGAAAGGTCCCGGGTTCGATTCCGGTCAAGGGCATGTACCTTGGTTGCGGGCATATCCCCAGTAGGGGGTGTGCAAGAGGCAGCTGACTGATGACTCTCTCTCATCCATGTTTCTAACTATCTTTCTCCCTTCCTCTCTGTACAAAATCAATAAAATATATTAAAAACAAAACAAAACAAAAAAACCATGAACAGGAGGAGAAAGGAAACAAATCCTCCTCCCCTGATTCAATTTGACTTCCTCTTTTCTCTACGAAAGACTCGACTGGGAGAAGTTAAAATTTAGATAAAGAGTGGGGACAGAGATGTGTTTAACAGGCCCAGGATAGGGTGAGCCAGGGAGCCTGACCTTCAATGGTGCCTGACGACTGGAAGCAACTTGAAGTTTTCAGGCAGGCCTCAAAAAACCTCACACCGATGCTGCCTGGAAAATGCAGCCCTTGATGATGATGATGATGATGAGATATATATATATATATATATATATATATATATATATATATATAATTGATTTTTTACAGAGAGGAAGAGAGAGGGATAGAGAATTAGAAACATCAATGAGAGAGAATTATTGATCAGCTGCCTTTTACACTCCTCCCCCCCCCCCCCCCCCCACTGGAGATGTGCCCACAACCAAGGTACATGCCCTTGACCAGAATTGAACCTAGGACCTTTCAGTCTTCAGGCCGATGTTCTATCCACTGAGCCAAACCGGTTTCAGCAGCCCTTGATTTATTACCCGATGACTTATGGGACATTGGAACAGAGAGTTCCATGTGCTCACTGAGAGTCGATCAAGACAAAGTAATCCCGTCTCCCACCCACCCGTGGGTGTCTTTGATGAAGTGCACAGTCACTGCAGTAGGACATTTGATAAAGACCCCAGGAGATGCATGCACACAAGTGAGGGAATTGCATGTAGAGGACACTGTAATTGCAATACTGTGTGCTCAAGGTCAAACAGGAAATTAACAAAGGCCCTCATGTCTATATCCTGTGCTGTTTCCACTCACCACCTGCCTCCTTCCTGCGTCTACTTGTTGAAATCTTTCAAACTCTGACTCAAATCCCACCTCTTTTTAGAAGCCTTGTTGGCTCCCCCTAGTTGAAGGGGTCACTCTTTTCCCACAGCTACATCATAACAAGTTTTGAACATTTATCACAGTACTTATCAATCTTCTTTGATTTAGAGTCCATTGTCCATGCTTCTGTCTTCACTCTGTTTGCCTGAAGAGCAAGGAGATAATTTATTCACTTAAGGATCCCTCTTAGCATATGCATGGGGCTTTATATACATCCGGCCACCATACAATGATCGTTGACTTGGTTATTAAGGCTGTGTGTCATGTGGGCTAGTTACCTTAGAAGAGAGAAGCTTCTGGGAGAATGGAACTGACTCTCATTGGGAGGGAGAATTAGATTTGACTACTCAGCTCCAGAGAAGAGAGTGAGGAGGAAAGGAGCTAGAAGTCCCATGGGGACGGATTTGATCTCCATATGGAGAAGTCTTCACAGTGAGTCACTTAATACAGAGATGGATGCCTCATGAGAAGTCAGTTCCACCAGTACAGGCTAGGGTACAGAGTAGGATACACCCCTGAGGTTCCCTGATTGCTCCCTGTGTTTCAGCATCAATAAAGGTCTTGATGCCATTTCGAGGTCCACATGCAATCATAGACACAGCCTATGCCTGGTGCACAAACAGGCTGGAGACAGGGCCCTGCACTACTTGAGTAGACAGGGATCTCAGGTTCCTTCTTGGCTCTCACTAGTCCAGTGTGCAAAAGAGCCAGCCCCTTTCTCTA